CTGGACTTCTGGCTGTTCTCTGCTGATGTGCTCTTCCAGTCGTTTTTGGATAATCTTCCATAGAATCTTGCTTGCATGTGAAATCAATGAGATTGTTCTGTAGTTTCCATACTCTGTTGGGTCACCCTTCTTTGGAATGGGAATAAATATAGATCTCTTCCAGTGAGTTGGCCAGGTGGTTGTTCTCCAGATTTCTTGGCACAACTTGGTGAGCACATCCAGGGCAGCATCTGTCAGCTGAAATACGTCAGTTGGTATACCATCTAGTCCTGGGGCCTTATTTTTTTGCTATTTCCTTCAAAGAAGCTTGAACTTCTTTCTTCTTCACCATAGGCTCTTGCTCATATGTTGTTTCATTAAATTCTTCTGTCTCTGCCAATTCATTTTGATACAGTGACTCAGTATATTCTTTCCATCTTCTTTTAATACTTTCTGGATAATTTAATATTCTGCCTAAAGCATCCTTGATTATAGCAACTTGAGATTTGAATTTGTTCTTCAGTTCCTTGAGCTTAAGAAATGCTGAGCGAGTTCGACCCTTTTGCTTTTCTGACTCTTTGCACATTTCATTTTAATATTTTGCTTTGTTATCTTGTGCTGCCTTTGGAAATCTTCTGTTCACCTCTTTAGTATCTTGACTTCTTCCTTGTGGTTTGGCTTTTCTGCACTGTCTGCTTTTTATTCACCTAAAAAATATCACCGTGTAGGGAACTCTGGTGGCTTAGTGGCAAAGAAGCTGCACTGCAGTCTCAAAGGCGCATGGTTCAAATCCACCAGATACTCTGCTGGAGAAGGAGGGGCAATCTCTCCTCATGCCAGTCAGATCCGATTGGAGGTACACAAGAAGGAAAGAAAAAAACACAACCAAAAACCAAACTCAAATGCAAGTGATTTGTTAAGAAACAAAGATTTTTAAAAAACCAATTATTTTCTCATGCAGAAATTCCTACTAGGAATTATGCAGGTGTAAGAGAGCTCTGGTGGCTTAGTGGTAAAGAATTGTGCTGCCAGTGCAGATATGCTGTTTGAATCCACCAGCTGCTCAGCAGGAAAAAAATGAACATTCCCCTCTCATAATGAAGTTTACTGCCTCTGAAAACCCACTCAAGGGTTGATTTGGTTCCTACTGGAGGAAACACAAGAAGTTCCTGCTTTAGGAGCACACAGTCTCGAAGAAATGTGAATTGTTGTTGTTGTGGTTAGGTGCTGTTGAGTCGTAGATGACTCATAGTGACCCTATGAACAAAAGGCCCGAGCATTGTTCATAGGGTTTCCAGAGGCAAGCCATTTCAGAAGTGGATGCCGCTCCTGCTTCCAGGCTTGTTTTAGTAGGGAAGCTCCAGCCAACACTGTCCACCATGGGTAAGCATTACCACGTTTGGCACATCAGTGTCCCAGTGTTCAGCATCACAGCAACCACCAATTACCTCTCCCTGTACAGCAATGCACCTAGAAGAATGTTTGACAGGAAAACAATTTAAACCCTGCCTGAGGGCCGAAGGTTGAAATTACCCACCTTCGGCTTGGTAGCATAATTTTCTGTCCACTAGGCCAATGTAGCTCTCTGTGTCGTCGTCGTTACTGTTGTTAGGTGCTGTCGAGTTGTACTTGCCTTAATATTTTTTTCTCAACAGGATTGTTGTTTTTCTTAGGTGCCATCTCTTGGCAGCCCTGTGAACAGATACATCTTAGAGAAAGTACAGCCAGAATACTCCTTGGAGGCAAAGATGACAAAGCATTGTTTCACACATACTTTGGACTTCTAAACAGGATGTTACTGTTGTTAGGTGCCATCTAGTAGAGTATGTCTCTTAGCCACCCTATGAACAATAGATCTGAGTCTGTCCTGTCCTGTCCCGTCCCATCCACACAATCTCTGGCACATTCAAGCCTGTTTGTTGCTGTAGTCACTGTGTTAACCCACCTTGTTGAGGGTCTTCCTCTCCTTCATCGCCCCTCCACCTTCCTAAGCATGATGGCCCTCTAAAACAGGATAGAAAAGGAAAATGTTAAAACACAAGCAAAAAGTAGTCACTTCTCAAAAACTATTAGGAATTCCTTTTGAATCAAAAAAGTCCCAACATGGGTAAGTAACAAGAGCTCAGTCAGTTTTTGGAGGAAATTCTGGGAAGCTTTGATGTCAGCTGGATGTGTGTCCCTTGTCCCCAGAGCATCCTGTTTTAGGATAAACAGTGTTATTCTTGTTCTAACACAACTGGCTCCTCCACTGTTGGCAGGATTAATTTCCTCACCTGACAGCTGTCCTTCTTTGTCCTGCTCTGTTTTCCTTAGCTCCTGTGCATTTGTTTGCTTATGTCTGTCACCCTTCAGTAAAATGTAAGCTCCTTGAAAGCACAACTTTGTCTGTTTTGTTCTTTGCTATTTTCTTCAGTACCTGGAACAGTGCTGAGTACAAAAAGAGACCCTCTGTAAAGGTTTGTTGACTCTTTCATGAATGAATGAATGAATGAATATGCTTTGTCATAAGCAGAGTAAGGAAGTGGTGAAGAGCCCAGGCTTTGGGGTCAGACACGCTTAGTGTGAATCTTGCAGGGCCCCTATGAGAATCACTCACCCACTTTGGGCCTCTTTTCCCCACATATGGTGGAGTTGGAATGGTACCCATATCCTAGTATTTTTAGTCAGATTACTTGATTTACTACAAATGAAGCTTCAGAAGAGTGCCTTGCCCAGTTGTAAATACCACTAAGTTCATGGGACTGCTTCTGGCCTCTCCTCCTAGACTTCTCCATCTCAAGAGTTTGAATTTGTGACTAGACTTTAAAAGTCTAAAGTCAGATAATACAGAGATTTTTTTTTCTTGAAACTTTGCTTTAGTTGTCTCATTGCCACAGTGCTTGTCAAAACCAGTTCTGATTAATCTCCTTTGTCAGTGTGTCCTTTGCCATTTCCTATCACTCCTCCCTGAGAGAGATTTCATCCTGATTCATAAGGAAAAGGGGATGGCATATTCTCTTACCTACTTCCTGCTGAAAAGGCACGTTGTAGGTTTTAGGGTGAAGATCTTCTCTCACTATTCTAAAGGGCCCCTTTGGCAATAATAAACATGTAGACTATTGTGGAGATTGATTTTGGAATTTAGATGCACTGTTATCACTATCAGAGATTTCTTTTGTAAGAAAAATTTTATTTTATTGGTTTGCTAACAACATTTGTATACATTATATTTCACACTATTCTTCCTTCACATTGTTTCATACAATCATTCCAATTCATTATATTTTATATAATTAATCAGCACTGAATTATGCTCAGCATTGGCTTGCCTTTGCATATCTCCAACGGATCTTTTCCATTTCCTTTACCCACCCTTCCCTCCATCCATCAAGTTGTGTGACCTTGTGATGTCCCCTGCCCATTCTTACCTCTGTGCTCCTACCCTCCCCCACCCCTTGGAACCTCATACACGCTTTACTTGTTACCCTTCTTTTTCTACAACAGTGGTTTCATACAGTGTTTGTCCTTTTGGGACTGAGTTACTTAACTCAGCATAATATTCTCCAGTCCCTCCTAAGCTATGTGGTAATTTTTTAAATCATTGCTCATGAGTGCTGTGTACTATTCCATTGTGTGAACGTACCACATTTTTCAATCCATTCAATTGTGGTTGGACATTTGGGCTGTTTCCATGCTCTTGTGGTGGTGACTAACACATACTATGAACACTGATGTACAAATCTCCACTTGTGTCTCAGTTGTAATTTCCTTGTGGTATATCCTAATAGTGGATTAGTTAAGTTATGTGGAATTTCTATGTTCAGCTTTTTGAGGAAACACCAAACTGCCTTCCAGAGTGGTGGTACTGTTTTACAATCCCACCAACAGTGTATGAGAGTTCCTATTTCTCCACATCCTCTCCAACGTTTATTGCTTTCTTTCCTGTTAAACTTTGCCATTGCTAATGGGCTGAGATGGTATCTCATGCTGATTTTGATTTCCAAGGTAGTACTGAAATATTTTTTTAAAAGCCTTAAACATTTTTCTCCTTTTATTTTTTTTATGCAGGTCCTCCACGTATGATTCTACTTGTCAAATTGCCCAACAGATCGCTGAGAAAATTCAACAACGAAATCAGTATGAAAGAAATGGTGAAAATACAATCAAGGTAATGCCAGGAGAGTATGTGTATTTAAAATCGTTCATTTGAGCTTTGAGGTCTGAAAATTATGCTTCTTTTGAAAGACTGCCAATGTTTCTCTGGTGGAGCAATTGGTGTATTTGAACTGCCATTCTTGCTGTTACCTGAACACTACCAGGGCTCCTTGTATTACTTTTTAGAATTTTATTCCCCTTAATCTTTTTAATATAAAAAGATTTATTTGTAGTCCCTAACACTTCTACCCCTTCTTTATCTCTTCTTTATTATTTCTGTATTCCTTTTAGCAAAAATAGTCTTTCCCATTCTACACAAAAGATAGTATGCTATATCTACTTTGTATCCTTCTGCATTAACTTAATAACATGTCCTTGAAATCTCTCAGTCTTACTTCACAAGGTTTTCTCTTCTCTTCTTTATGGCTGTGTAGTAATCTATTGTGTGGAAGGACCATAGTTCACTTAACCAGTCTGCCAAGTACACATATTAAGGTTGTTTGCAGACTTTTGCCTTTATAAATAATGTTTCAATAAATAACCATTCCTCCTCTTTCTTTTTTTTAATACATAGAAGTGTCTTTTAAGACACATTCCTTCCCCACCCCCCTCTTTTTAGTATCAGGGAAAAAGTGTAAAGGCATATGTAATTTGTTACTAAATTGTTTCCCTAAAGGTTGTGACCTTTGCCACTACCCCCAGAGATGTGTCTTCACTGCCCCAAGAGTGATGGCAGTCTTTTTCATTTTTGTTGATCTTAGAAATGGAAATAATATTTTGATAGTTTTAAATTTGCATTTCTCCTAGGTTAGAGTCAAATGGAAGGTGTCTTCAATCATGTAAGAGCCAGTTAGTGAACTTGCTTTTTGTCTTTTGATCATTTTTCTATTGGATTGTTGGTCTTTTTAGTTTTGACTTCTAAGAGCTCCCTATGTTATTGCTGTTGTGTGCATTTGAGTTGGAACCGACCCACAGCTGACCTGCCCCTGGGTTTTCAGAGGCAATCACATGGGAGGAGATGCCCATCCTTGTCTTGCATAGCAGCTGGTGGATTCAAAACATGTACCTTTTGGGATTGTAGCACAGCTTCTTGCCCTTAAGCTAGCTAATATTATCAGGGAGCTTCTGTTAAGGTAGATCTTGTGACATAGTCCTTAGAGAGCTGCTTTGCTTGTTGGAAAGGTCACACATCCCTGGGAGTGAACCTTCTGGTGGGTGAGATAGAAGTTGGTTCTGAATCAACAGCAGTAACTTTGACTTTTATATTATTAGGGGGATTATCACCTTGCTATTTTCTCTTCTTTTATTATTAAAAATTGAAAAGCATTTTTTTAAATGAGGTTGACTATATCCATCTTTAATAATGTCTGTAATTTCCATCGTAGCTAGATTTTTGCTATTTCCAGGTTATAAAGGAATTCCCCCCCCC